CAACAATGGTAGAAGACATGAAACATCTATTTCCAAATGTCCACTGTGTCTGTTTTTTCTTTAGTTGGGTTCACCCCAAATGTTAATCAGTTCAATGGTTCCTGTTTCTGCCCACTTTCCACAAAACTGCTTAGCATTGTCAGAACTGCAAACTTGCTTTTGGTTATTAACAAAACCATTTTCTCCTGCTAACTAGCAGCTGAAAATAGAAAGCATTTCACTTAATTTGGTCTATTGTTTACTCTTACGGATTGAATTGTATCCCCTCAAAAACATGTGTTATAAACTCTAACCCTCATAGCTATGGTTACCAACCTATTTGGGATTAGGTTTTCTTTGTTATGTCAACTAGATCATATTAGTGTGGTGGCAGTGGTGTGCTGCTGAGTCGGTTTTGACTCATAGTGACCCTATGTATGGTTCCCAAGGCTGTAAATCTTTACAGGAGCACAAAATCTCATCTTTCTTTTGTGGAGCCATTGCTGGATTTGCCCTGCTGTTCTTGCCCAATGCATAACACACTATACTACCAAGGCTCCTTGTAATAATGTTGTTGTTGTTAAGTGCTGTTTACTCAGTTCTGACCCATAGCAACCCTGTATAGCATTTATGAGGAGTGGCTGGTGAGCTTGAACTGTCGACCTTGCAGTTCAAATCGACCTTCCAGTCCAGTGCATTACCCCACAGTACCACACTGGGACTCCATGTATTAGTGTAGGATGTATCTTAAATTAATCTCTTGAGAGACAGAAGACCAGTTTAAACAAGCAAAGCAAGCATAAAGGAAAAGGCATCATCCCACATGATTGTTAAGAAACCTATGAGAAGAGACAATTCCTCCCCCAACCCCCGTCACACAAACACACAGAACTGTCCTCTATAGCCAGCACTCTGAATGTGAACTTTCAGCCTTTTAAATTGTGAGAAAATAAATTTCTGTTCATTGAAACCACCTGCATGTGACCATCTTTCGAAAGGTGAATGGACAAAGTGTGGTACTTTTCAATGAACTCTCAAGCCCATATCAAGACACAGAGCCACCTTAAACACATATTACCAAGCAAAAGAAGCCAGTCTGGAAAGGATATACTTGGATTCCAAATATATCACATTCTGGTAAAGGCAAAAGTAAGAAGATCAGTGGTTGCCAGAGGCTCAGGAGGTGGGGATGGGGGTGGGGGTGAACAGGTTGAGCACAGGGTATTTTTAGGGCAATGAAACTATTTTGCATGACACTATAATGGTAGACACATATGACAATATGCATTTGTCAAAACCCAGAGGCCTGCACAATGTAAAGTGTGAACTTTAATGTAAAGTTTGGACTTTAATTAATAATAGTATATCAATATTGGTTCATCAATTGTAGCAAATGTACCATAGGAATATTAGATATTAATAGTAGGGGAAACTGCAGTGGGTAAAATGATAACAGAAACTCTCTGAACTTTCTTGTAAATCTAAAATTGCTCTAAAAAAATAAAGTAATGACTTCCGCCAAAATGGTGCTCTAGGCAGTTGCGCTACAGGGATCCTCTACAACAAACATACAAGAAACAACAAAAAACACAGACACAGATGAAAATTCTGGCATCATGAACTTCAGAAGAAAAGTTAGAGAAGTGGATGGAGGTCTTGCTGGGAGGTGAGGCTGAGCAGGGACAGTGAGAGAGAAAGACTGACTGGTGAACAGCTGGCCAGACTTGGCTTGACCATTCTGTAAGCAGCTTTGGCAGTGTAGGGAGTCCTGGCAGAGCATATTTGTGTGGATGATAGAAAAGGTGGGAGTTCTTCTTTTTTCCCATGCTCCTCTGGAGACTAGAAATGTGGCCAGCTCCCATCCTCATCCATACCCTGCTCTTCAGGCATTCTGAGTCACATGGTTGGAAGTTGAGCCACTTTAATATGCCGCTTTGGTGCCTGGATTCAGGTGGGGTCAGCTCCAGACCTACAAAACCCACAGAGCTACCAGACCAGCATTAAACCAGTTGCCCTGCCCCCAGCTGTGGTTCTAACAGACATTGAAACCAGCTACATTAAGGGTCCCCAAGAACTGTTTATGGAATGAGTACCCTGAACATAGATAATACCAAGGCCAATAGGAACTACCTCTAGGACCAGAAACTTTGTTGTCACATCCCTTCCATAACCACCTCATGAGCTCCTTGAATTGCAAGAACACCCCCAGAGACTTATCCCTGCTGGGTCCAACAACTGCACTGTTTTTGTTTTGTTTTTTTGACAAATACAACAACCCCACCATAATGCCCTGGAAACAACAGAGAATTTTAGCTCAAATGAAAAAACAAGAAAGAATCGCTCAAACAAATGACCAAGATGCAGAAGCAGAAGACATTTCTGGGGAAGAGAAGGTAATAGAACTAACTGAAAAAGAACTCAAAAGAATGACAATCATGTACCTTCAAAGGATGGATAGAAAGAAAGAGGAAATCAAAGAGGACACAACAAAACTTCAGAAGAATTCAGGAAAACACGACAAGTACAAGCAGACAAACTAAATACAATTTTTGAAACAATACATAACCTGCAATTAGAAATCCAGTAGATTAATGCTAAGATCTCAGAAATGGACAGTACATTGAAAGAGCGAAGCAATAGAAGCCTGAATTAGTGAGCTTGAAGATAAATCTCTCAATACTAGTATGCTAGAGGAACAACCAGAAAAAGAAGGAAAAATCTGAAGAACGCCTAAGAGTTATGTGGGACACGATGAAGATGACTAACTTGGGGGTGATCAGAGTTCCTGAACAGGAAGAGACAAGCACAAAGAAAATTGTCAAAGAGTTATTGGAAGAACACTTCCCTAATATCATGAAAGATGAGAAGATAAGCATTCAAGAAGTTGAATGAACCCCCAAAAGAAAAGAAAATCACCAAGACATAACATAATCAAACTTTCCATAATCAAAGACAAGGAAAGAATCCTGAGACCAGTTTGGAAAAAGTGAAGTTACCTACACAGGAGACCCAGTAAGACTAAGCTCTGATTTCTTAGCAGACCCATGCAGAAAAGAAGGCAATGTATTGACATATACAAAACTCTGAAAGAAAAAGATTGCCAACTGAGAATCGTATACCCAACAAAGCTGTCCTTCACATATGACATTTCCGGATAAACAGAAATGAAAGGAAATTGTAATGACTAGGATTGCTATAAATCGGAACAGTCTTGACGACACTTAGCAATAACAAAAGACCAACTTTACAAAAAAAATGTTAAAGCATGTTCTTTGGACTGAGAACTAACAACAGCAGGCAACAACCTGAGATTAAAATACATGACAACACCATCCAGAACTCAATCCAGATATAGAAGCATTTAAAGTAAAACAAACCTACGAGATTGAAAATAGGGAACCAGATGTATCAATGCATAATAAAGCCAACTACAAAGCAAAAAGAGTGAACAGTGTAGATACAGAACTTCCAAATGGCAAGGAAGTCAAGTAGATTTCAAGACAAAACAGACTGTTTTAAGCAGGGGGAATAATTAATAAATTACAGGGTATTCTCAAAGAAAATAATATACCTGCAGATCAAAATAAACAGAGAGGAAAATCAGAAAGCTTTAGTAAACATTAACACAACAGAAATGATAATGAAAAGAAAACCCACAGACCAAATGAACTCAGCACCACACACACAAAAACACCCATATAGAAAAATGACAATGATCAATTTATACCTATTGATAATTATACTGAATGTAAATGGATTGAATGTACTAGTCAAGAGACATTAAGAGTAGAATGGATAAGAAAATTGGATTCTTCAATATGCTGTCTACAAAAGCCATATCCAAAAGATGGAGAAAACCTAAATGCCCAGTAACAGAAGAATGGTTAAATAAATTTTGGTATATTCACACAATGGAATGCTATAAAGTGTTGAAGAATTATGATGAATCTATGAAACACCTCACAACATGGTTGAACCTGGAGGACATTATGCTGAGTGAAATTAACCAGTAACAAAAGGATAAATGTTATATGAGACCAATGGTGTAAAACAAAATTTTTTTTTAAAGTTTTCTTGGTAAAAGAAATAATCTATGATGGTTGGTAGGGGGAGGGGGAAATTATTCATGGGTTAGAGGGTAGACACATGTTAATATTGGTGACAGGACAGGCAATATACAACAAGAGGGAAGTTAGCAGAAGAAAGATAAAGGTAGCGAGAGACATGGATAGTAAAGCAATAGTTAAAGTGAATAGAGGTAACTGCTGTTAACTGTTGGTACATGGAGGGGATTGCAATCATGTAGTGAAGCAAAGCGTATGGTTTGTTGGATGTAAAATTGATGATCTGCTTTGTGATCCTTCATTCAATTTACAATAAGGAGTTTTTAAAAAAATAAAGTAATTAGAAAAAAGCATATGATCACAGTGGTAAGGATTACTTGTGTTTCTCTACATGCTCACATACACACACTAATGCAACATAATTGACAATTGCCAAGTGTTCTGTTACATATAGGAAGATAGGCCTGGCAATCTACTTCTAATCAAAGATAATCAAACCCTGTGTATCACAAGGGTCCCATCCTGCTGTGCATGATGTTGCAGGAGCCAGGTGCCAACTTGATGACAGTTAACAACAACAATATTCAATACGAACTCCATGAGATCAGGATTGTTTTGGTCTGCTTTTTTTTTTTTTTTTTGATATATCCAAAGTACCTGACAGATCAAGGCAACCATTGAACAAAGAAGCCCCGGTGCCACCGTAGCTAAGCATTTGCTTGTCTGCTAACTGAAAAGTTGAGGTTCGAACCTACCAACCACTCTGTAGAAGAATGATGAGGCAGTTGTCTTCTGTAAAGATGACAGCGTTGGAAATTCCACAGGTCAGTTTCCAAGGACACTACTCAGTCCTGTACTGTCTCTATGAGTTGGAATCCATTCAACAGCAATGGGTTTATTTGATGGATGTATGTACGGGATGAAGATGTGAGCTGAAAAATCAAAATATTTACTCACCGACATATATTGCTGCTGCCCATTCACAAATTTGGGTCCAGCTGCTTTCCTCAACTGAATAAATTTTGAGAGGTGCTCATAAGCCACAAATTCATTGAAGAATGTCTTATAACCTATGAGTTTGGCGACCATAAAACTGTCTTGCCAGTCAACTCCCATCATGAAGGAAAAGGGCATGAAGATATAGGAGCATATTATCTACAAAAAACAAAAGTATAGAGTTTATTAGCTGAGTATTGGTTTGATTCCAGTTCTTCTGCCACATCCCCAGCTCCACTACTGTTCAGGCCCTCTGTGTCCCTTTTATGCTTAGAAACCTCTCTACTTTCCTGTGGGTTAATGCACTGGACTGCAAAGTAGGTTTGAACTGTAAGGACGGTGGTTCAAGCTTACCAGCCATTCATTGGAAACCCTATATAGGATCGCTATGAGTCTGAAACGACTCGACGGCACTTACCAGCAACAACAACATGCAGTACTTGGAATTGGGCCATTCAGAGTAATCTGGAGTCTTGGGGGGTGGGGTCTGGAGAAACTGAATATGTGTTGGGGGAAAGAAGGTGGTAAGAAAAAAAGAGAGGGGAAGATGGGGTGGAGTATAGGATAAGTTTGTACAATGTATTGATGTTAAGTGTCCGAGTTTCAGAAAAGCAGCTGGTGAGCTTGAACCACGGGCCTTGCAGTTCAAAGCGACTTTGCAGTCCAGTGCATTAACCAACAGCGCCACACCAGGACACCTTGTACAATGTATAAGAGTACATTAATGATGGTTAGGGAAGGCTGTTCCCAAACTTGTTTTATTTTTTAAAAAAAGATGTTGTTGTTGTTAATTGCCGTCGATTCGGTTCCGACCCATAGCGACCCTGTATAGGGTTTCCAAGGAGCGTCTGGTGAGTTTGAGCCGCCGACCTTGTGGTTCAAATGGCTTTGAAGTCCAGCGCATTAAGCCCACAGCGCCACACCAGGACTCCTTTAAACAAAGATAGGCCTAAACAAAATAGAGAGCAGAAGAATGGAGTAACTATACCTCAAAACTCAGCTGTGGGTAGTCAAACATGTTTCCAAACCAGGACAGGGCTGAATTCAGAAAAGACAACAGTGCCAGGAAGGCGATCAGATTCGCGGCGATATTCGCTACCAGGGAAATGGATGAGGATGCGCCCTGAGATGCCGCCTCCAGGAGATTTCTTGACTCACTTTATGAAAACAAAGTTATTCCAGAATTAGCAAGGGGTTGTCAGTGGATGGACATCGCAAGGCAGAATGGACCTCCAGAACTCATTCAGCTAAAAAGACAAACTCTCAGGCTCATGCACTGAATTCCATAAAATCATTATGGGCTTGGATTCATAACTGTTAAATCTAGGTAATACACATCTGGGTGTCTAACTGTTAACATTTTAAAAACTGGTAAAATATCATGGGTTTTGAAAATGGTTTTTATTATGTAGCTATCAAGATTGTTTATAAGATACTTAAAAAAAAAAAAAAATCCAGTGTTTTTGAGTTGACTGTGACTCACAGTGACCTATCTATGTGTGTCTGAGTTGAACTACTCCATAGGACTTTCAATGGTTGATTTTTTTTTTCTCTTGAAATAAATTTATTGTGAATTGAGTGAAGACTTACAGAGAAGATCATCAGTTTTAAACCACACACTTTGTTTCATCTCAATGATTCCAATCCCCTCCATGGAACAACAGTTATCCCAAATTCTCCCTGTGGTTCCTATTTCCACTCCACCCTCCTTCCCAACTCCTCTGAACCTTGTCCCCAGGTAAACATTGCCCTTTTAATCTAGAATGGTTGACCATTCCATGGTGAGCATACCTTACTAGTGTTGTTCTCCCTATATACCTACTCTATGCTTGGTTGAAAATTGGACCATGAGGATGAGTTCCATTCCAGACATGAAGCGGGGCTGAGGGCTATAGTCTCAGGTTCCTCCAGTCTCTTTCTGACCAGTAAGCTCCGACTTGTTTATAATTTTGACTTTTTTTTTTTTTTTTATATTCCCCCCACCCCAACTTTGTCTGGGACCTTCTAATATGATCCCTTTGCTTGATATTTTTTAGAAGCACATCATCAGACTTTTCTTCAGAGGCACCTCTGGGTGGATGCAAACCTTCTACTTTTAACAGCTGAGCATGTTATCTGCACCATCAAGGGATTCTTTAAAATATCTAATGTCTAAAAACTAATGATACAAGGAGGACCTATGTATTCGTCAACTCATTTAAGGGTTGGAATGCCATTTTACCTTTGAATTTCTTTGTATGCTCTTCATTAATCCAATAATACTCTTCCCTCTAATCTCTGCCTCACTAAATTTCTGTATCATTTCCCCTCCCCCATTTTTTTTTTAACAATGTTCCTTCGTGTTTGTACCCCAAAATAATACATTGAGTAAGTTTGCATATCTGTTAATTGTATAAGTGAAATCAAACTATATGTAGTAGTTTGGCAACTTTCTTTTTTACTTATAGTTGTAACTTCACCTACCCACCTATACCCAAATCACACTATTGCCTATGTTGTTAAATTTCTTCACTGGGGATTGTATCTATATGTGGCTTGTAAACTCCATGTTTGGGGGCACAAGCCAAGTTATTTTAACATTCTTCAGCCCTAGGCTGTAGACCATCAACTTTCAAACTTGGTTGTATATTGAAATTTGAGGAGTTATTTTGTTTTTGTTTTTTTTAAATTCTGATGCCTGGAGTCCTGGTGTGGTCCCGCAGGATTAGTACTGGACTGCTAACTGCAAGGTCAGTGGTTCAAACCCACCAGCCACTCCTTGGAAACCCTGTACTGAGTCGCTATGAGTTGGAACCGACTGAGTGGTGCTTAACAACAACAACAGTACGCACAAATAAGTCATGAATCTCAAAAACATGTTGATTGATAAATTCTGTTATTTGATGAAATAATTTTGAGTATCCTAAATCACTTAGTCTTTTTCACCTTCCTTCTTTTTCTTCTTATCTTTTGATCAAGGCAAAAGAAAATGAACCAAAGAGAGGTTAAAGATATCTATATCCCACCTTTCTCTTCCCTGTCAAATAAGTACATGGCCTCCTTCTCATCTTATAACATGAACCATCCCCCCTCCAGAAATGGCCATCCTATGGCTTTGCAGCAGTCTTGAACCAAGGCTCATTGAACCCAATGCTGTATTTACAATGAATTATCTTCACAATAAGGAGTCCTGATAGTGCAGTGGATTATGAGCTGGGCTGCTAACGTTAAGATCAGTAGTTTGAATCTACTAATCACTCCTCAGGAGAAAGATGAGGCTTCCTGCTCCCATAAAGATTTACATCTTCAGAAACCCTATCCAGCATCACTATGGATTGGAATAGACTCCATGGCACACAACCACCACTGCCGCCATCTTTACAATAAATAGTTGAAAAAAGTTACCGACATTCACATATTTAGAAAGGTTTTTTTCAAGTGTTGAAACGGTAACTTTTTTTGTAATGTCTAAGTCATTATCACTGAGAAATTAAATGAACTTCAATACCATCATTCACTGGGATCTCTGGTTACTCATTTTTCCTCAACTTTGAATTTGCATTTTTCTTCCCTCAGTCTAAGTAGTCATTAGCTAGGTGAATGTGTCTCACTTACCCATCTTCCATTTTCATGGCATTCTTAAGGGTGATTTTAGGTGTTTCTGTCTCTGGCCAAAAGAGTTTCGCAATAGCCAGTGAGGCCGGCGCTGACATAACAGAAGCAGTTAACAAGTGAGAAGACGGAACCTGGAATTTTAGAAGAAGGCAAGCAGATTAGGTTTAGTTTTTTTTTAATCTGGTGGGTTCGGAAGGAATAGCCTAAAAAACTTGAAGAGACAGATGGGGCACAGATTGATTCTGTGCTAGAGATCTGTGTTTTTTGGAGTTTTGGAAAAACAATATCAACACAATGGCCCAAACAACAGGCACTCCAAGAATCAGAGGGAGAAAGGAGGAGTTTGGGTTAATTGACCACATCCTTGAGTGCTGTTGTTAAGTGCGGTCAAGTCAGTTCTGACTACTCACAATGGTTCTGTATAGTGTTTCCAAGGCACAGCTGGTGAATTTGAACTACTTATCATGCAGTTCAAACTGATCTTGAGGTCCAGGGCTGATCTGGACATATTATTATTTCAGAAGAAAACTAATCTTGTGTCTTAAGAATTTTCAAACAAGAGCCCTCAACATCTCTGTTTCCCTTATGAATGTTCCAACAATCTCTGTTGTTAGGTGACGCTGAATAAATTTCAACTCATAGTGACCCCATGTGATACAGTAGAACTACCCCATAGGATTTCCTAAGCTATATATTTCTTAGTAGCATAGTGGTTACAAATCAGGCTGCTAACCTCAAGGTTGGCAGTTCGAAACTACCAGCTGTTCCATGGGAGAAGGATGAGGCTTTTGGCTCCTGTAAAGATTTGCAGCCTCGGAAACCGTGTGCAGTGTCGCTATGAGTCAGCACCAACTCTACGGTACTTAACAACAAAAATATTTCTCAGGGGAGCATTTCTCCAGGTCTTTCTCCCATGGAAATAATGGGTGAGTTCAAATGATCTTTAGGTTAACAACTGGGTGCTTAACCCTTGCACCATTAGGGCAGCCATACAAGGTGGCTTCAAAAGTTTGTGGAAGATGGAATTAAATAAAACACAGTGGAATTTTTCCATAAATTTTTTGAAGCCTGCTTGTTTTTGACTATATCATCAATTTAGTTATGGGTTGGAAATGGGGTGTGGGATATTCAAACACCTTTCCCCTTCCTTTCACACTCCTGAAACAAATATTTATGTAATATTTACCCAGAATCCCTGTAATTTATAAGCTATTTCTGTTTTCCTCAATGCAGGTCCTTTTGAGCTCTTTCTCCTCTCCACCACACACCCTGTATTTCAGAATTCCAGAATTGGCAGTCTGCCCTCCTCTATCCCTACTGCCATCACACCTAGCACCCAGCCCATACCTAAAGGAAGCATTCCTGCAGTAGGGGGTGAGGGGGGCCATTTGGGGATACAGTCAAATTGCTTTTTCCCAAGGCCCTCTTCTCCTTCCCTCTCCCTACTGATTGGTTCTCTGAGGCTGGGGAAGAAGCTCACCTATGCAGTCACATGTCACACCATTGCCTGCGTTGTTAAGTTTTTCCACTGGGGGGCGATATCTCTATGTGGCTTGTAAGCTCTATGCTTGAGGGCACATGCTAGGTTATTTTTAACAGTCTCCAGCCCTAGAACTTCTGGTGTGACACTGAAAGGTAAGTAAGCTCTGGACTTTGAGCCACAAGGTTGGCGGTTCAAACACACCAGCTGCTCTTCGGAAACCCTATACAGGGTCGCTATGAGTCAGAACTGACTTGACAGCGGTTAACAATAACAACAAGGCTATAGACTATCAACTCTCAAACTTGGGTGTATATTGAAATGTAAAGAGGTCTGCAAAATTCTGATGCTTGAGTCTCATAGTAATATTATTTACTGTGGTGCACTGGGAGTTTTAAAAACTTAACACTGGACTGCAAACCGCAAGACCAGTGCTTCAAGCCCACTAGCTGCTCCTCAGAAACCCTATACAGGGTCGCTATGAGTCGGAACTGACTTAATGGCACTTAACAAACTACAACAACAAAACGTGATTTTAATGTGCAGCCAGGTTTGATAACCACTGTTCTAAGTGAGGGGTTGTAAGCTTTTTCTGTAAAGGGCAAGATAGTAAATACTTTTGGTTTTGCAAGTCATAGCTAATCAACTGTGTAGAACAAAAGCTTGTCTACAAGTACAAGGGGCTGTGTTTCAATAAGGCCCCTGGGTGGTCACATGGTTTGCTCTTGACTACTAACTGAAAGGTTGGCAGTTTGAACCCACTCAGTGACACTGCAGAAGAAAGACTACAGCCAAGAAAATACCAGGGAGTTCACTTCTACTCTGTGACAATTGGATCCCCAAAGAGTCCAAACTGTCTCCATGGCAATGGTTTTTGGTTTTTTTGTTCCAATGTTTTTGTTAAGTGCCATCAAGTCGGTTCTGACTCATAGTGACCCTGTATAGCGTTTCTGAGGAGCAACTGGTGAGCTTGAACCACCAACCTTGTGACTCAAACTGACATTGCAGTCCAGCACACTTATCTGCAGCACCAATAAAACTTCATTTTAAAAACTGGGGGCAATCCAAATTTGAGCATAGTTTGCCAACTCCTGGCTTAGATCACCTTTTTTTACTTGTGTCAGTAATAATTTTGTTTTTTTAGCATTAAAATTATTCATTGAAAGTAACCTTATCATATGACTTCAATCTATTACGGTTGGATACAACTCACTTTGAGGTGGTGGGATATGAGAGCAAGGTTTCAGAGCTCCTAGAAGTCACCACTGCATTTAAGTGCCAAAGCCTTCTTCCCCACCAACAATGGAAAAACAACAAACATCTGACAATAGCAAAGAAAGAAGAGGTTAAATTTTCTGTAATTCTTACCCCAAAAGAAATGTATGCACCTAAGACGCTTCCAGCAATGGTGGCGAAGCCAGCGGTCATGATTGCATGGAGCTCAGACTTGGTGATGTATGGTAGATATGGTCGAACCAGCAATGGAGACTCCGTCTGCAGACAAAGAAGGGTGAGTAGGTTATGCACCATCTTTCACATATTAGAAAGGTATGGGTCATTGCGTGGTGCAAATGTTTAACACACTCAACTGCTAACCAAAAGACTGGCACTTCAAGTCCACTCAGAACTGTCTGGCAATCTGCTTCCAAAAAAGCAGCCTTTGAAAACCCTATGGAGCATAGTTCTACTCTGACACACATGGGTTTGCCATGCGTTGGAATTGACTCAAAGATAACTAGTTAACGTAATAGTTCTAAGTGTGGTCTTTAGGTAAGTGCCATCTATATTTCCTGGGAACTTTTTACAAATGCAAATTCTTGGACTTACTGAATCAAAAATTCTGGGGCTCAGCAGTCTGTTTTAACAAGCCATCCAGGTGATTCAAGCTTGGGAACCCACTCTATCAATGGCTGTATAAATGGATGTGTACATTTGGGAGAGTTTGCAAGTCCAGTTCCTAGTATTAAACTCAGTGATAATATGATGCATGAAGAACTTGGTACACTTTTCTTAGGACTGGAATATCATCAGTCAAGTAACCTGGCCTTGTGGACTGTGGTTCCTAGGCCTTTGTGACTTCCCATCTCCCAGTTTGATCACAAGAGGCCCTCCACCTCCTTGCTGACACCACAGAGAAATCACAAGAGTCCAGTGATACCAAACACAGGTGCCCAGACACTCTTTCCTGACTGAGAATTCTAGGTACCTCCCTCCCACTTCCCCTTGATGGAAAGAGTCATCAGGTTGTTGCTGAATGCCATTGAGTTAGTTCCAACTCATAGTGAGGAGTGGGTTAGAATCACCAATCTTGTGTTTCTCAGTCCAGTGCTTATCCTATAGTGCCACAGCAGGACTCTTGTCCCCAGGGGACGAAAGGCGTGTGTACAACTCCTACTTGTCTTTCTTGTTGTTGTTAAGTGCTGTTGAGTCAGTTCCAACTCATAGCCACCTTGTATAGGAATTCCGCGGAGCTGCTGGTGAGTTTGAACCGCCGACCTTGTGGTTCAAACTGACCTTTCGTTCTAGTGCATTATCATGCAGTGCTACACTAGGACTCGAAGTGGCATGATTTGTTCTTGTTGTTAAGTGTTGTTGAGTCAGTTCCGACTCATAGCAACCCTGTATAGGGTTTCCGAGGAGCAGTTTGTGAGTTTGAACTGCTGACCTTGCAGATCAAACCGACTTTGCAGCCCAGCACACAATTTTGCAGCACCACACCAGGATTCCCCTACTTGCCTTTAATGTTATGCAAATTTGCCCTCACTTTGAAACAATTGAACCAAGCCCTTCACTTGCGGCATGTGTGCAGCTTTTAAATAATTTTTAAAAGCCTCAAGCCTTTTCTTGCCCTAAAGTAAGGTTAACTAAGAGTCACATGCACCTGGTCCGACTTACCTACAAACGTGACTTAAAGACTCCCTTCGGAAGAGATCTTGTTCCTAACCTGAGGGCTGCCTATAGTGGCAAAGGCTTGAATCCCATTAAGGAGGGCAGGAGGTCTTCAGTATGGGGCTCTCCATAGATAATTGCTGTACTTTTAGCATATTAAGTACCAAATTGAGCACCACAGAAGCATGTGTACAATTTTACAATTTTCCTCTCATTATTTCTAATTGTTCTGTAAGACTGAATGTGCTAGGCCTCAATTTACGGACTAAATGGAAATACAGTATATGCGCCCTTTTACTCTGCAGGTAGAAGTAATCAGCTCAAGATGGTGCTCTCATTAGTCCTGAGAGATTTTGTGACTATAATTATAATAAATTCAACTCCGAGGGGAGGATGCATGGGTCCGCTCTAACAACTATGCTTCAAGCCTGTGAGCAGGGGCTTACTGACAAGTAGGCTTCGCTTGACTGGAACAATTGTAAGCTTGGGGTATGGGGCCATGTGTTTTTCTGGGTGACTTGATTTTTGCTTCAAATCAAATTTTCTTGGAAACTGGTCCTGGCAAACATTCACACTTAGCTTCCTTGATGTGTGATCCCATTCTGCTGGAAGCTACATGCCCTAAGTAGCTTATTACTACTTCTTACTTAGCCATCCCCTTGGCAAGCTGCTATTTTGATGGACACTCCTTGGTGTTATATTTCTTGGTTTAAATGCATGTTAGGCAAATAGTGTCTACTCATGGATGGATTGTTGTTGTTGTTAAGTACTGTCGAGTCAATTCCGACCCATAGCAACCCTGTATAGAGTTTCTGAGGAGCAGGTGGTGAGCTTGAACTGCCGACCTTGAGGTTCTAACCAAGTTTGCAGTCCAGCACGTTAACCCACAGAACCATATCAGAACACCCATGGATGGATTACGGAGGTGAAAAATTTTCAGCATTTTTCTTCAGACTCTGCAAAGACAGACAGTTGGCCAGTTCAGATCAGCTGAGAATGAGCTTGGGTAGGCAGGACTGCATAGTTTTTGATGGAAAGCCTGTTTTGGTCTCTTTCAATATCACAAATCAAATTCTAGGTCAGGGTAATACCACAGAATATGCAGCTACAAAACAAATGGTGAGCTCCATTTCAGCAGAAGAGCTCCTAGCTTCTGAAAGATTGACCAGAGATCTCAACAATTCAGTGAGTTCCAAAAAGACTTGTTGTTGGTAAGTTCTGTCGAGTTGGTTCTGACTCATAGCAAGGCTATATCGGGTTTCCAAGGAATGGCTGGTGGATTCGAATTACCACCTTGCAGTTCAAATCAACCTTGCAGTCCAGTGCTTATCCAACAGCATTACACCAGGACTCCAAGCATCTACAGATGAGAAGTTCTATTTTTGATAAGGTGATCCAATCTTCCTTTCTCTCCATAAATTACCAAGAACCTGAATTCCACACGAGACCACAGAGGGTCTTGGAAGGGGTGTGTTTCTCTCTCTCTCTCTCTTTATCTGTTATCTCAATTTTGCTAAGAAAGGAATTCTTTATTTTAACACCCTCCTTTATACATGAAAAGAAATGGCAAAATTATAATATTTTTTATTCCATTTTCTGGAAGAGACTATCCATTTCAGCAGTTCATTTTTTGGATATTACAACTCACCTGTCCAACAAATATATTACCAGCAGCAACTACAGATTCAATAGGAGACGTTCCCATAGTAACTAGCATTAACCATCCAACCTAAAAGCAAAAAGGGACAAAATTAGAGAAGAGTTATTTGTGTGCACCAAACTTCAAGGTAGGGATAAAATTTTGTAAGCTGGAGTAAAATGTTGAGGCCAACCAGTGATGGAAGCAAATGTAAGTATATTTTATTTAGTCCACAGAGCAAATCAATCAAATCTTCCTGTTTGAATGGAAGTCTCAGCCATTGTAGGTATTTTGACCATTTGGGAAATACATTTCTAAGCTGTAGTGTATATAAGTAATGCTGTTTTGTTGTGAAGTGTCATGGAGTTGGTTCCAACTCATAGTGACCCTGTATAGGTTTCTGAGGCTATAATTCCTTATGGGAGCAGAAAGCTTCATCTTTCTCCCTTAGAGATACTGGTGGATTTGAACTGCTGACCCTCCAGTTAACAGCTCAATGTGTAACCCACTATGCCACCATGACAGGTTTTTCTACATTCCAGGCCATGATGGTGTCCTGGGTTATGAGTTAGGCTGCTAACCACAAGGCCAGCAGTTTGAAGCCACCAGTTGCTCTGTGGGAGAAAGATGAGGCTTTCTGCCTTTGTAAAGATTTACAGCCTCAGAAACCCTATATCAGAGTCACCTAATGATAAATTGGTTCAATCCTCTTTTCGTTACATAAATTTCCAAGAACCCAGATTCCATACTAACTCACAGAGGGTCTTGGAAAGGATGTTTCTGTCTTTCTCTCTCTGATATCCCAATATTGCTAGTAAAGGAATTCCTTATTTTAACACCCTCCTTTTTACATGAAAAACAAACAAACAAACAAACAAAAAACAAAACCAGGCAACATTATAAACTTTTCTTATTCCATTTTCTGGTAAAGACTTGAAGGCGCACAACCACCAACAACCAATGGGCCCGTCCAGAAGATTTAACATCCTGCTGCTGTAAAGATCTGCAGCCTTGGGACTGTTCTATTGTACTATATGTTGTCTGGGGTTAGGATCGCTTCACTGGCAATGGGTTTGGTTTTTTGGCCTGAACACAAGTAAGCAGTTCACTCAGGTGTTTTGGAGTTTGAATCTAATCACTTGATGAGAGAGAGAGAGCCTGGTAGGAAGAGAAGGGAATTTTGGAAATACCTGCATTAGGCTGTGGCCCTTGAAACCATCAGTCCTGTACCTGCCTCTCTGGCTCTCCCGGGTCCCGTACCTTTCTGATGAGCCACTGCATCAGTCCGAGGTAGTACAACATCGACATGACAGTGCTGAAGAAGACCACGATGGGCAGGATCTGGGGAGGGGACAGAAGCCAGGCTGGGTTAACTTTGCTAGCAACCATTTCTTGGGTGTGTGGGGATAGCAGTCTCAGGTCAGATCTCCCTGCCAACTTTTTCCCTCTGAGATGCCACCAAAATACTGAGACCTCCTCTTGAACTAAAGCAACTTCCCAATCTCTAGTCTCTGGTTCTGGATATGCTTGAGTGTCTGCTATAGTGACCTTTTCTTACTTCAGCGTCTCTGAGAAGCAATGAGACCCCCTTTTCTCTCCATGTGTAGGTGATGTTTGGGTGATGTGTGGGTGGGTGCTTGGTGGAGGCGAGAAGCACGGAGTATCTAATGGAGCAAAACCGATAAGGAGAAAGAATTTCTGTCTGTCTGTAAACATTTGACCTTTCAGAGATAGCTTAGTTCTCTCAGCCCCAAAGAATCAATCAACAGTTAAAAATTAGTCATTTAAAAAACAATTCAGCATGCTTTCATTTACCTTGTCTCTTCCTCTTCAACTGCAAATAACACTAAATGTTGAGAAGTAGAGGAGAGTTTGGGGGAGGTATGTAATAACCAGACTCAAACTGAAGGTCATTGTCTGGGGCTTCACCACTAATTAACAATAACCCTTGGCCAGGATTAATGGTGGACAACCTCAGAGCCTTCTCTGGATCAGGAATCTACAGAGATGAGATTAAGTTTAGCAAGTGCTTACACATTGCTTCCTATCCAGTAAATTTTCATTAAAAAATTTTTTTTTGGTGGTGAACTATGGCACTATGAATTAATGTACTTGCTGGACTGTAAAGTTTGTACCGCAAGGCCGGTGGTTCAAGCTCTCCAACCGCTTCTTGGAAACCCTATACAAGGTTGCTATGTATTGGAACTGACTCGATGGTTTTTAACAACAACAACAGCAAACTATCTATGGAATCCTGGTGTGGCACTGTAGGATCAGCACTGGACTGCTAACTGCAAGGCTGGCAGTTCAAACCCACCAGCCACTCCTTAGAAACCCTATACAGGGTCACAATGGCATACTAAACAGCAACAACAACATATATAACAAAACATTTTAAAGGGTACAATTCAGTGACATTAACTGCATTCAGTATGTGGCGCTGCGGATTAACGTGATAGACTGCAAGGTCAGTTTGAACTGCAAAGTCGGCAGTTCAAATTCACCAGCTGCTCCTTGGAAACCCTATACAGGGTTGCTGTGAGTTGGAACAGACTCGACGGCACTTAACAACAACAACATACTATGCAACCATCATCTCTATCTATTTGAAAACGTTATCACCACCCCAGACAGAAACTCAGTGTCCTCTAAGCCAGGACTCCCCCTCTTCTCCTCCCTCCCACCCAGGTAACCACTAGCCACTAACAGACTTTTGCCCATTCTAGATTTCCCATATAATTGGAATAATGCAATGTTTGGGCTTTTGTGCCTGACTTACTTCACACAGCATAATGTTTTCAAGGTTCTTCCATGTCATAACTTGCATTAAGACTTTATTTCACTTTAAGCATTCATTCTTTTAACTTTAAAAATAATAACTCTTATCTGTAGGACTATTTTGGAATCACTAAAGAAGTAGTTAAACTTTGGAAATTAACTTAGATTGTTTTTTTCTACTTTCTGTTTTCCAGATGCTCTTTGGGTACCTGAAAGGTGGGCTGTGTTTCTGCAGAGAGCAGTTTCTACTGAGACCAGTGTCTGCCCTGAAGAGACCATACTGAGCTATTGTTTGAATCTCTCTTCTTGCTGTTCTACTATATTCATGTCCCTGCTAACCCCCACCCCCACCCCCAAGCAGAACAGTGAGAGCCAAGCAGTCACCAGAGGCCCAGAACAGCTGAGGACAATTTGTGCTGGATCTAATTTAGAAGAGTCTGTTAATAATATATATTGAAAGACATTTTGTGCCATTTTTCAGGGTTCATTCACTTATATGCCTTTTATTGGCTTCAGTGGACAGGAGGAGTATCCCAGAAAGCTTGAAGAAGGTATAGGCTTCTCTCTGGCATGTTATCCTGAGCATCCTGCTTTGGCTTGAAGAGATAGAGGCTACTGCCCTAGAGAGCCCAGTGTAGATTCACAGATACCAGTACAATCTGGATAACACGTTACTAACTTCTCTAATTCTGAATTAGGGGCTCTGGTGGTACAGTAGGTTAAGGTTGGCAGTTCTAATCCACTAGTCACTATGTGGGAGAAAGATGAGATAGTCTGCTTCCATAGAGATTTACAGCCTTGGAAACCTTATGGATTCATTGTCACTGTGAGACAGAATTGACTCAGGTGCCGTGCATAGTAGGTTAAATCTGAATTCAATTCATGACATGAGCCTATTTCTATCTCAGTCTGTAAACACTTGACCTTCCAGAGGCGACATAGTTATTTCAACCCTGAAGATTCCATCGGCAGTAAAAAAGTAAAAAAAAAGAAAGAAACATCAGTTGTTCTAAAAAAAACAATGATTCACAGAGATGAAGGCATGGAGAGATGGAGTAGCTGAGGACTCTAGACTCATGGAAAGAGAAAGGTTGTGTGCTGGTGGCCAGGAGGCAGGCTTGCAGAATGTGCCCTTTGGGGATTTAAATGATTACATATTCCTGAATTTTTTTGTGTAAATCCCCCCTACACCCAAAAAAAAGAAAACACTCAAAGGGAATAGAAGCAAATACTGTTGAATGATGATGCATGGAAAGGATTGTAATCATTGCAATGAAATGAAATACGATAGGATGAGTGTAAAACTGATGTTCTTTCATGTAAACTATCACTCAATTCACAATAAAAACTTAAAAACAAACAAACAATGGTTCAGCATAAAAAGTAACCTAATGGAGTCCTGGTGTGGCGCAGTAGAATAAGCACTAGACCGTAAGGTCAGTTTGAACTGCAAAGTCAGTGGTTTGAATTCACCAGCTGCTCCTCGGAAACTCTATATAGTAGGGTGGCTATGAGTTGGAACCGACTCCATGGCACTTAACAAAACAAAAACAACAACAGAAACAACAGAAGATGGGTTAATGCTAGTAAGTTCAGAGTCCCTAAATGAGAAAACATGTTAGAAGTACAGGGCCAATAACACATGACGAAAAAGAAAGCTGAAAAAACGTCCAAGTGTGCTTTTCTGACTTCTCAGTAGGTATTTGCGTTCATTAAAAGGTTGATTGGTGTTTCAACCAGCCCAGAGGTGCTTGGTAAGACAGACCTGATGATCTGCTTTCCAAAGATCACATGCTTGAACTAGAGTTACTCTAGGGAACATCGTTCTACTCTGCACACATAGGGACTCCACGAGTGTGACAACAATGTAGGTCTCTGCCATCTGGAGACATCTTCCTGCGTATAGACTCTTTGCTTTTGGTTGCATCTCTCCCATCTCTGTAACTCCTTGGTCAGCCACAGACACTGACTACTGAATTAGTTCTGTTTGTCTCAGGAACTCACCACTTGAACTCTTCATGATGTGTTCACACCAGGATCCCTGCCTTTCACAACTAGAACTTTGTTAAGTAGAGAGAGGCCCTGACTGGATAGACATAGTTTGCTTTGCCCCTTAAGTAACTTCAGACCCTTGTCAGGTAGTGCTAGAGGAATGGAGGGTGGTACTCAGACATGAGGACCACAGGTGACCCGTCAAGAACCTGAGAAATTTCTTTGGCTCAGGGTTTTCACTGTTCCTGGACACAGAGACCATGAGTGGCCATGTACCTTTTCATTGCCAAATACCTAATGTTCTTTTTCTGACGCTCCAGATCTTTTACCCACTGCCCGTGTTTCCTCCTAGAGACTCTCCTTGCACAGATGGCTTATGAAGTAGTTTTTCATAAGTATTTCAGGCAATGAATGATACACATCCCATCAAAGTACAAAGGGATCTTCCAAGATTTCGTGGGGAAATTGCATCATCTTTCAATTCCATTTTTCCATGAACTTTTTGAAACCCCCATATATTAGAATATTTCTGACCTCTTCTAGAGATGTTTCTTTTAAAACTAGAGTACCAAGCTAAGA